TGAAAAGAACACCCAGTGATTAAAGAGATAAAAAGAAACACTTTTAATGAAGAAGCATTATATCATTTTATAATGAAGTATAAATTAAATATTGGAGAGAAGAGGGATCAGCTTCAGAATTGTAATTGTTTTTGTTAAATATGCAAATTCAAATATGTTTAAAAGCAATTGAAAAGGATTTGCTAAAGGATATGTATTTAAAAATGAAACTAGACTAAATAGAAATGGAGACCCTTTGTCTAGTGAAACAGATTGTCTAGATGTGAATGGAATATGCTCTAAAAAAAGTTATGACCAGATTGATTTAGACATTTCTAAGGATATGTGAGGGACCCATCTCAGCTGCACACTGAAGGCTGTGCAAATGCTGTCACTACTGCCCTCGTTTTGGTGGGAACAAGTGGGGGATGATAGCATAGTAGTATCAGGGCTTGCACCTTTCCGAAATGCTTAAGGAAGCCGTTAATGTGTAGAGGCACGCTTGTGCCATCACACTTGACCTCCCAGGACTTTCATCCTTTACTCTTTTAACTGAGTGGAAGTTGCAGCTGATCTGTTGTGCCACCACCAGTGTTCTCTCTGCAGTCTTAACATGTCCTCTGCTTTCCTGGCTCTTCCAATGTGAACAATACGTTTTCTTATTTGCTCTGTGAGGCTGCTTTAACCTTGGTGAACATAACTTCACACAGATGTAGGACCACAATTATAGCTTACATAAATCACCTTCAGTAAATTAACAGTAAGAAGTGCCTAGAGCTTGGACAGATTCTTCACATAACTCATAACTCAAGATTTAAATGGGAGATATCCCTCCTCCTCTCCCTCCCCCCCCCCAGTAGATTCTCTGTTTTCATTTAACATTCCTATCACCTCCCACTTGCTTTGCTTAGTTTCAGTCATAGGCTTTGCTGATTTTAGTCGTTCAGCTTTCTAAGTGTTAGAAGTCGCCTTGTCCCTGATACTGGCCCTTTACAGCTTGAATTTTTTTATGGAATTTTACTACCTTTTGCTAGTGATGAAGGAACCCTTTCAAGAGGGGGAAGCCCTCTAAGCCCTTCTTGGGGCTATACCAAATGTATGAACCTTCTCAGGAAATTCAAGAACAAATAGCCTTTTCTGGGGTACTCTTGGAAGAGAGTAATGAAAACACACTGAAGTGGATTCTAAGAGCTCTTTGGAAGGGAAACTACAGTTGCTGTGTTATTTTTCTAAAAGATTATTTTTGCGAAGTGAACCAGAAGGACCAAGACCTCAAGAAATTCCTCCAAAGAAAAGCAAACTTCCTGCATTGCTGAGGCTCCAACAGTTATGCTAAGCACTCCCAAAGATACAGAGTCCCTCACATTTGAAAACTTTCTGAGGTCTTTGCCTGAGTGCAAAGCCTGAGACCCACTGGTACAGTTTTACAACTGATGCTTTTACAGACTGAAATGTGAATTGCTATTTATTGTATCACAGTGATGGAAGCATATGCTATTTTTGACAAGCATACATGTATGTTCAGGGATTTGGCAGGAAATTGAGACTATTGCCAGCAATTTCCACCTCTTGCTACCATAGGTAAAACATCTTCATGGGCAACAGGAAAAGGTACTGTATTTCCTTTTAACCATAGTTTAGGAAATTCGTCAAGTTTCTTCCTTGCAATTTGTACGAGTGGGTTTGTCGCTGTTTACAGCGACGGGATGGTCAGAGATACAACATTTTACTTCAAAACATTCCATGTGGTTAAAAAAACTCTTTGAAGCTCTTTTATCTTTAGACTTCCTACTGAAGTCATGGGTGATAATTTGGAAAAGCCTCACTGATTTTAAACCTTTGTACTTATTTATAGCCATCACATAAAATAACAGTGCTGGAGAAGTAGAAAAGGGCTATTCAGTATGGATGAAGCCTTAATATATATTACTAATGACAGCAAAAATGTAGCTGTGAAATTCACAGGGGAAGCGTGTGAAAGTGTGAGGAATTGACCCCTTGATTGCTATTCCTATTTTTTAACTATAAAGACAATCTCTTGTCTACAGGAATTTTATTAGATGAAGAACAGACCACTAAAAGGCTTCACAACTTCCCTCTGACTAGAGTCTGTAAGAAAATATATTTCTTAGTATTAAAATATTAGTTACATTTAACTAATATTTTTTAAAAACCTAAAATTTGTCTTTGACCAAAAGGTGTTGGTTCAGAGTAATTAATGAGTCTCTCCTATGCACTTTTGATGTGAGATTTATACCTTTTCAAGATGTCTTGAAAAACCATCCCAACTATCCACAATGGCTCCAACACAACGGGTTTGTTTACAGGAGTAAAGGAGATGCAGGGGGAGCTAGAAGTGGTCAGATTCAGGTGGACAGTTGGTCTAAAGAAAGAAAGAAAGAATGGATGGCTGTTCTTGACCTAGCTACAAGAAATTCCTGTATTTCAAATATAATTGACGAAGAATGAAAAAAACCTAACACTTTCTGTAGCAGTTAGTTAATCATGTTATGTTGTTTAGTATTCATATGTCCTGTTCAGTATATGTTTTAATATTTAGTGTGTGACTAGCAAAGCCCTTCATTCCTTGGCTGGAGATTTTGCACATGTTCTGGGGAGCTGGGAATCCAGAATCCCTTGAGATTCCAGGAGAGTTTCATGCCATTTGAAAATCCCGCTCTAATGTCTCCCTACTTTGCTTTCTTTGCAACTGTCCTCTCCATAAGTGCAATGAAATGTTTGGAGAAAAGAGCTTTCTCACCGTACTGTGATCCCATGGGCAAAGAACACTTGTGGGAGAGAAAGATACTATGGCTTGTCCTAGATGTGGCCAAGTATGAGCAAGTCAAGGTTGTGCTTTCTGTCCTTATAAAGTATTGCATCTGCTTTCACTCTGCGAGTGCTCTGCAAGGCTGCATAGCCTACATCTAGGGTAGTGCTACTTGTTTAGTGCTGTAACTGCAAGGTCTGCACGCATTGTGACTTACGATACCCGTATCTTCAGATGACGTTTCTCACGTCTTCTTCTTTAAAAAGTCATTAATTAAAGGTATGTGAATTGTCTTGTCCTAGGCTAAATTATGACCGTCTCTACATCTTCCTTGTCTTTTATGATACTAATTTAAACAGTGTACAGTAAATAACTCTAAAACAATTTATAGCTGGATGTCAGCGCCATACTGAGAAATGGCTTGGACTGAAAGCAAGCATTGCGTGAGCAAAGCCTGATGATACTTCACATTTAATCTTTATTACAAAATGTAACCGAACCATTTAGAATTAAATATTTTACAAACTATTATTTTTGTTAGATCATTAAACTGGATAGCCCACTTTATATGGTATTTAGAAAGACAGGACACAAATGCTGTTTCCAGATTGTATATTCTTGTGCCAGCTCAATTGCCCATTCATTTTTGAATATTTATGATCATGTCAGTTTTGCCCTGGTGTTGGTAAAGGTTATGTTTATTTACTCTTACTCTTTTCCAAGTTCTGGACACAGAGACATGCTGAAGTCTTTTCAGCTCCCTTCCTAACTGTATAGTAGGTTCATGGGATATCTCATCTTCCCAAGAGCTCTGAATACCAAGGCTCTATCTCTTCTCCCAGCATATGCTGAATGCAATTAGGCACCAGTTCAGGAAAGGCTTTGTAAACATTCTGAATCCATGCCACATTTTCTGGTCTCAGGAGCTGCCAAAAGCCTAAACACTGTATTCAAGCCAGATGTCTAAATATATAAAGTGAATGACTGAACAAAGTGCCTCCTTAGTAGAGCATATGCGTATAGGATGGACAGACCTGAGGGGTCTGAGATCAGCTCCAGAACATGATCTGCCAGCCCACATCCCTGGCCCCTAGGAAGGAGACCACAATATACTCTTTCCTGGATGAGCTGTATGAGGAAGGAGCACCCTTGGTCTCATTTTTTGCTCTCTTGGTGTGGGATACCAAGCCTCAGATATCTCTGCTACCAGTATCATAAAGGCAAACTCTGTCACTTCTCAGTGAGTACACCTGCCTCTGGGGCACTGAGGTACTTGGTCAGCAGGATCAAACAGTTTGAGTACATCTGGGTTTTCACCTGAGCAGCATGCACTCGACCATTATGAATGGGCTGCCTTGAGTTTTGTTAGGAAGTTTACATAATACAAGATACACAGAAAAATAGTTTCTATGTAAAATAATTCAAGTACTTTTCTGACTGTTCAGGCTGCCAAAGTGGTTTTCTCTTTTGTTGAAAGCAGAAAGAGAGAAAATCAGAAAGGAATGCAATACTCATGATTAACACTATGGACATTAGCTCAACTGCAGTAGTGGGCAAAACTGAAACACACTTGAGCAGGTACAGTAACCTACATTATAAACATATTCTAATTTATAAAAGTAGTGCGTGTTGAAATTGTTCATAGAACACTGTCACTAAGCGGTCTCAGTCTTTGTCACTGCTTCTCAAAAGAAATAAACTTCATTCTTTCTGAGCTATGTTTCAACCAAAGCATAAAATTCGTTTATATTCGTAGTCTTCCTAGAACCTGAAACTTTAGTGATCTTAAAGTTGATGGGCTTAGTTTCCCTTTCACGTAAGGGTGCCTAGTTCCAGATTCTGAATAGTGTGTGTATGCGTTGAGATGGACTATGCACAATCTTAGAGAAATGCCTGCAAGGCATTAAAGCTTGAACCCAGACGCTATTGTTTTGGATGCCCTATAAATAATTCTATTAATAATCTTGAGAATAGCTAAATTGATCCAGGAAGATTGTGATGAGAGGCTACTGGTAATGTAACAATTCTGTAGTAAGGTTAAGTAGTAGTAATAATTCATGGTAACGCAAGGTAATAACTCTCTCGTCTCACAACTGTCTAAAAAAACATCTGTATAGTCAAGTAAGTCTGGAGTAGGTGTTCTCTTTTGTAACAATGACAAGCATAGAAATAAAATAATTTCACTGTATTTACTAAAGGACAGTGGTGATGTAGGGAGCTCTCACTAGCAGAATGTCTTTTTTCCTCCTAGGTATGGCAATGTGGAGGAAGTGTTGAGGTTCTACCTTGCTCCAGGATTGCCCACATTGAAAGAGCACATAAACCATACACAGAGGATCTAACTGCTCATGTCCGGAGAAATGCACTAAGGGTGGCTGAAGTCTGGATGGATGAATTTAAGAGCCATGTCTATATGGCGTGGAACATACCCCAGGAGGTGAGTCACAAAGATTGGTGTTTGCAAGCTTTGGCTTTAGATCCTTCTGGATTTGGTTCCTACTCTGAATTTTTATTCTTCTGCTAAGATTTTGTTATTTGTGGATATGTATGTATGTATTTATGTCTTATGTGTAGGCATAATATATGCCTAGACATACACACGTATATATAAAAATATATATGTTGTAGTGTCTTATTCTAGAATAATTTGTTTTCAGGTTCCTTAAAAATTAATTTCTTGTCAAGTTCATCGTCCTCACTGATGACTCTTCATGGAGATTTTAATCTTGTATCTGCAGAAATGTGGAAAAAAGAAGCATCAAATCTATATTACACATCTTATTTTTGAGTCTCTAATTTACCATCACAGAGAGCTACAATTCTGCCAGATTTGTGAGGGGAGTTCTGCCAAGGGGCAAGGGGTGTTAACATCTATGGATTGAAATGTGGGTGTATCACTCTTGAATAATTTCACATCAAAGTAAGGATGACTGGTGGAAGTCATGACATACTGCAGAATCTAGTGGCAACTCCTTTTGGCCTGCTTGACCAGACTTCTTTTACATAGATGAGCAATAGTTGGTCCATTGTATTGAAAAGATAAGGTCGGATGGCTAACCTGAGAGTTCGGTTTGACATTCGATTTTAGTTGTTCTTCATTTCTGTAGTCAATGGTATTTAATCTGTGAACTGTTAAGAGCTATAGGGCTCTGAGAAAGGTGACTGTAGCTATTCTGGAAAATGTTCAGGATCCATGTAGAATAGGTTGTTTCCAGCTAGAGGCTGGAAACCATGCCTGTAATTGAATTTGAGGTTTGACTTAGTGTGCAGTTCTCATCATTACAGCAGCAGCAAATATTCTAGACTTAATAAATGAACTTAGGCAATTGATTTTTTCTTTAATAAAATCTCTGTAAAATCTCTCAGAGTGATTCTGCAACTGTTTAGAGAAACTGTTTTTGCTGCGATTTTTGGTTTGAGAAGTAAAATACTATACTTCTCTTCCTTTAATTTAAAAAGGAAAAAAGGTTATAAACCAGAAAACAGCTAGATATATGAATGCAGCTTTCAGTAGTTTCCTGCATCTCTCATGGTTAACACTAGATAATTTAGCAAAGGGAAGGAAGTCGTTGTCCTGTTTTCAGGTTGCAAAATTAACCACATAATACACCATAAAAGCACGGGGGGGAAAAATCCTCTATGATCTAGTATAAGGAAAGGACCTTTCTGGAAGTTAGTCCCATGTTCATAGAATCCAAGCTACCCTCTAAGTGTCCGTGTTTTGAGTAGTCACACAGCAGTGCATACAAGAGTAAAGATATTTCTGGAAGATAGGGTTACTTATTTTACATCAAAACAATTTCAGGTAAATTTTATTTATGATTAACCTGATAGATTTAAATGTCAGTTTCTATTTTTTATTGTTGGTTATTTTCCTGAAGATTGATTGATCTTCATTAATTGATCAAGTTGTAATTTTCTGACTTGCAAATATAGCATTAACACAAAATTTAGAAATTCCTTTTGCTAACCAGGATGTACAATATTATACACGTATGTGCATAATATTCATTCAGATATGATGGTGGTGGTGCTTAGTCTTGTGCAAAGTTGAGATTTGAATGCAATTTGGAAATCAAATTCATAAAGAATACAAAGATTAGTGATAAGAGAGAAATTTAGCAAGTAATAAGGACACACTCTTGACTGTGCCGATAGAGCAGAATAAAGTAAGCCTGTTATAATAAATCTTAAAACTCATTTATTAAACAAAGGAAATAAATATATTTTGTCAAACAAAGGAAAAATAAATGCAGTGTGTGGATTGAGCTGATTTCTTCAGGTCACAAAGTGCATCAAGGTGTTTGCACGGTAGATCCTGCACTGTCAAAACTGATTTTGTTTATAGTTTTGAAAAGGAATGACAAATTTTCTTATTACTTCAATCTCCAGTCATTTCCCCACCACAAATGTACTAATCATTGCACTGAACTGCTTGAATAAATTGCAATGCAGATTATATTATCTCTTCCTCTTCACAAAGGCTACTGATGTCAAATTGTAGTGCAGACTTAAAAGCTGGAAATGCCAAGCACTAAATCAGCTTTTAATAGTGGTAGCTTCTTCTGAAAGGTAATGGGAAACCTCTGCTGTAGTGAGAAATCTGTTACTGTCTGTATATGTGGAACCTGTAGCACAAAGAACCTTCGTTTGTGTTTCTCACCTCTGTACAAAACCAAATAAACACACACACGCCCACATACTTATTTACAATATACTGGGAAACAGCTTAGTTTTCACAGCTGTAACAGGCCCACAAAGCCTGAATCTACCCGTCACCTAGTAATAGCTACAGGGTGTTCAGAGACAGTATGGCACCTTTGTGACAATCAGAAGGTTTTCCTGTCAGATGGGGTCTGTGCCTCACAGCTGGGTGTGTTCAAGTGTTGTTCACCCAGCTTCCATCTTTTGCCATGTGGAAAATAGGGAAGGACTTAGAAGATTGTTGGGGCTCTGTTTTATTCTGACATCTGGACACGTGCTCAAGCTTCCCAAATCAGTTGTGTAATTTAAGCTGTTCTGAGCATTTTTGTGTTTGTTGTGCGAGGCCTGCTGCCAAGAATCAGGGGAAGAGCTCTGAAGACCTTGGACTTCCTTTTCCTTTGCCATGCTAAACTTTGTGAGTACTGAACTGATTCTAGGGCAGTAGGAAACAAGTACATGTTTAAGGAAACTTCTGGCCTTTAAGAGAAAGAGGAAAATACAGTACAAAATTACACTTAGAAAGTCTGTAATAGAATCAGTCAGTATGAAAAAAACCCTACCTCGTTAGAATCATAGAATAGAATCATAGAATGGTTTGGGTTGGAAGGGACCTTACAGATCATCTGGTGCCAACCCCCTGCCATGAACAGGGGCATCTTCCACTACACCAGGTTGCTCAGAGCTCCATCCAGCCTGCGCTTGAAAGGGGGCATCCACAGCTTCTCTGGGCAACCTGTTCCAGTGTTTCACCATCCTCATGGTTAAGAATTTCTTCCTAACAGCTAATCTAATCTGCCCTCTTTTAGTTTACAGCCATTCCCCCTTGTCCTATCACTACACATCCTTGTGAAAAGTCTCTCTCCATCCTTCCTGTAGGCCCCCTTCAGGTACTGGCAGACTGCTATAAGGTCACCCCGGAGCCTTCTCTTCTCCACGCTGAACAGCCCCAACTCTCTTACCCTGTCCTCACAGGAGAGGTGCTCCAGCCCTCTAATCATCTTCGTGGCCCTCCTCTGGACCCACTCCAACACATCCATGTCGTTCTTATGTTGGAGGCTCCAGAGCTGGACCCAGGACTCCAAGTGGGGTCTCACAAGAGCGGAGTAAAGGGGCAGAATCCCCTCCCTTGACCTGCTGGCCACGCTGCTGTTGATATGGTTGGCTTTCTGGACCGCAAGCGCACATTGCCAGCTCATGTTGAGTTTCTTATCCACCACTACCCCCAAGTCCTCCTCAGGGCTGCTCTCGAGTCACTTTCCGCCCAGCATGTACTTGTGTTTGGGATTGCCCTGACCCACGTGCAGGACCTTGCACTTGGCCTTGTTGAACTTCATGAGGTTCACACAGGCCAGCGGGAGTCCTCTTTTATAGATCAAAAGGTTAGGAGCAATGCAGTCTCTGGTTAGTATGGAAACATCAGTAGAAAGAGGGAGTATTCTGCTTAAAGAAGCAACCTGAACAACGTCTCAAAGCTTGTGGGACACTTGCAATACAGACTTCCAGTAGGCAGGGGGAAAAGAGAGCGTGGATGAGAAAGGCTGGGGATGGATTAGGTCAAATTTAGATATCAGACTGGATTTCATCTTTGTTTCATCTTTGCTTACCTCAAGATTAAATTAAAGGTGAAATACCAAAGAGGGACAATTTTCAAATCAAACCTAGCTTCAGCTTAGGCAAAAAGATGTTGAGGCATCATTGTGAGAGACTTGCAGAGAGGACCAATAGATAGCATGGCTAAATACTGTTACGTAAGTGGATAACTACAGGAGTAATTCTCTGTCTGGAAGCTGATAAAATGGTGCACTGGTAATGGACTGTGTAGGTAATAGAAATGTGTTCAGTTAGAACAGCTGGGACTTCCCGTGAAATATGTTATTCCAAAATGTTAACCACGGGCCTGTTTTTTTCCATGGAAGAATTCCCAGATCTCTGAGAAGCACCATAGTCAGATGTTTCCAAAGGTTTTAGTCTTTGAGAGCTAATAAAAGGAGTTCAACTCATTGACAGGGTGCTGTGACTGCCCTCTTGGGATCTCTGTGGGTGGCTCTGAATGCTGAGGGTTTCAACTGGGGATTTGGTGATTTCTGCATCGTAACTATTTGGATAAACAGATTCAGAAAAGCACTTAAAACCCAAAGGAAAGATTTTTGAAGTCCCAGAAGCAAGACCTGCACTCTCTATGTGTCCTCCCCTATGTTTTTGGTTTGGGGTTTTTGTTTCCTTTTTTTCTTCCCATCGTGTTCTCAGCTTTGGGGAACACGTTGAGTTGTTCCTGCTGGCTGATAAAGCCAGTGTGCTATGTGTGAGCTATTTTCTTCTCCAGCTGCATGGGAGGATGTGAGGCCCCAGATGCTCTTTCTTACCTTATACAGTAAACTGGGAGGAAACAAGTGTTGGTGCCTGCAGGGTTGCATGAGAAAGGAGCTGGGATGCACTGGACCAATTTAACAGCTGAGCCCAGGAAGCCTTGTTAGTACTGGAAGTCGAACGTCTGTGTGCTGACATCCTCCTTTTCCATCACACAAGTGGCAGATACACTGACAAGTGCAAGTGCAGCCAAAGTGGTGCACAAGTGGGATTTGTCCACAGGATCACTTGGTTGTGGTACAGCACCCTACAGCGTGTTCCTCTATCTAGTCACTTGCTAGAAAAGCCAGGAAAAAATGATGGCTTAAGGAGTAGTTCTACATAAAGTTTTATGAATGATGAAGGTCTTGAGGGGATTAACTTGAGTTATGCCTGTTTATGCTGGACCTCGGTTTCCTGCTTGTTAGTATACTCTACTAATGTGGAAGTCAATTTTACTTTAGTTAAAGTGCTTCCAGTGTTACTTTAAAATCGTATCTGGTGCCTGACAAAGTCTTTGGGGTGTTTATGGTCCAGTAAAGGCTGTTGTTTAAGTAGATAGATTACATGATTTCTCTGTGAAAATTTATTTATCCTGTGTGAATTTATTTATCACTGTGTGAATTTTTGTGATAAATTATGGATTTTTATGTACAGGGACTTTATGAAACTCACGCTTTATGATCTGCTCTTATCATAAACAGAAATTATGTTAGCCAGAAATGTAAAGGAGAATGAATATTAGGGGAGAGAATATCCTGCAATTGCTTTTAACAAAAATAGCAACTTCTCTTTTTACGTTACAGGAGAAATTCAGTAAGTGGTACTTCAGAAAGGTGAACAGAGCTCCTGCTCTTTGCAGTGAAGCAATACACCCTGACTTCGACAATGGCCAGAAAGTGTCATACGCTAATGATCAGGCCACAGTGGGGTGCCAGCAATAAGGTTGTTTCTAGGGCAACTTGCTACTTCCTGCCAATTACTTTTGGATTTGGAAAGTGCCCGGAAATTAGAGAACAACAGTGATATTCATTGGAAGCTATATCTAAAGCCCACTGAAGTCAAGAAGAGTGTTTCCATTGACCAAAGCAGACTTTGAAAGAGACCCTGCCACGATGACCTGTATCATATTTAACTGGGGCACTTATGGAGTGTGTGTGGGTAACAGACTCACTCTGCAACCCCAAGCTGATCATCATCATAGGTCATAATCATCTTTGCAGTGAGGGAGTCTCTGGATTATTAGTTTACACAGAAGTGCATCACTGATGTCTTTTTTGCATTTTCTGTCCTTTGTTTTACGTGCAGGACTCTGGAATTGATATTGGTGATATTTCTGAGAGGAAGGCCTTGAGGAAAAAGCTCCAGTGCAAGACCTTTAGGTGGTATCTTGTCAGCGTGTATCCAGAAATGAGAATGTATTCAGATACTGTTGCCTATGGGGTGGTAAGGATCTTGTTTACATTTCCTGTTTTAAAAAGGTGGGGGGGAAGGTGTAATAGTGGAAGTAATTCATGAAGACAATGCCTGGCTCCAAGTAGAAGAGTGAGATAAACTTGAAGTTACTAGTTAAAATATTTCTTAGACTGCTTAGTTGACAGAGACAGCTGCTCTGCTGAAGTTCGTGTTGAGGTATTCTGCATATTGTCTTCCTCCCTGATTTTTTGTTTGTTTGTTTGTTTCACGGCTTGCATTCCACTCAGGGATACTCAAGACATGATTCTTCACATGCGTTGGAGCTGTCAGTTGGAAGGCTTGTGGCAGCAGATGACTTAACAAAGTAGGCTCAGTATTTCAACTGCAAGCTTCTTAATACAGTAGCCAGATCTTAATTTAGAATCTCAAATGCCTGTATTTTGGGATCATCATTACTTGTGTGACAGTAGTACCCTTGTCTGTGTTGAAATCCCACTTGAGTTGTACTGTGCTAATTAAAGCAGAGACAGTTCTTGTCCTTAGAAAACCAGCAATCTAAACAGAGAGGGCAGGTGTGCATGATATGGAGAATGAGCATAGTAAGTTAGTGGAGGCCCATAATAAGCTAGTAGAGCTAGGATGTCTATTTCTCATTCTCTATCCAGGATCATATTGATAAAATTTGATTCCTGTGGATTAAATTTGCCTTTTTGCATGCAAGTCCCAATTAGGAACTGTAACTAGTGAGAGCAGATCATACAAGTGAAAGATTTTGTTCGAGACATTCCTCCTCAAAAAGAAGTCCGAGTTGTGCAGTTTGTCAATATGGCTCTGAGAAGACGCTTGAGGGTGTCGTAGAGCAGCTGCTCTGTTTTGGCAAATGAAGTGACGGTATGCCCCACACAGTTCCATGACCCCTTTGATGATCACTTAAAATTATCATGCTGACTTTTCATACAGTCAAGAAAGAGAAGAAAAACACTTCCAACAAAGGTTTAGGTCGTTGTTAAATGCATGAGATAATGGTTACCTTCCGGAATAGTTTAGAACAATGCCAAAATCACACCTGTGTACAAGGAGCCTCTTCCATGAACTGTGTGGAATTGCCCTCAGTGATGCCATGATCTAATCAGGCGTGGATTTTCTTGAGGAAAAGGAGGCATAGAAGGTAATAGGTGCTTATAGGTATCTCTGGCTAAAAAAATCTTTGATTGAAGGTAAAAGTGATACTAGATCAAAAAAAGGAAGACCAGTGGAATAGCTAAGGTACTTGTTGCGTAGTCTCGGGATTAACTCCGCGTCATGTAAGCCAAAAGGAAAATCAGCCAACAGGCACCCTATGATTTTATATTCTGCTGAGATTTTTTCACCAGCCTTTTAAGATTCCTTGCTGGCAGTATACAAACCAAAAAGAATTAGAAGAGTTTGTTACAGAAATGCTGACCTCACTGGCCAGCAGAACATGCATGTCTAGGTACTGCACAATGCACAGTCTTTGGTCTGCAGTATGAGAGTAGCCTCATCAGCTAAGAAAGATGTGAGGAGTAGGCTTTCTTTCACTATTTGTACTATCACAAAAGAAGTAGTGGCCAGCTATGGCAATGTATCTGTACAGGTAAAGGGGGAGTGTTTTATGAAATACACAGCTTACTGTTTTATGAAATACTGTTGTATGAAACAAAAAGACAAAGTGCCCCAATCTTTTTAGTAAAAGAATTGCTAGAGTGTCTAATCTTCCTCATGTCTGCTTTCCTGTTCGCTTGCATGTCTTATAACGGAGAAAGGTGTGATGTATCAAAGCAAGTCAGCTGCTTGCTGATTCTCTTAGGTGCTTCCATTAATCAATTGTCTTATTTTTTTGTAGAAATAGCATTATCATTAATTAAAAAAAATACTGAGTAATTACAAGTTATCTGATTAGGAGTGAGGATTAGGATATAGGCATCTACAGTGTCACCACTTGTATTTATTTCCTGAATCTTAAGTTTCGTTCTGTTCTGTGAGAGTTAGGAAAACAGATGTATCATTCATGTCTGGTTTATGCTGTGGCATATAGCTAGGGTTAGGGCTGGTGGCAGAGTAAAGGTTTGGGAACCATATTCCTTTCTGCATTCTGCAGTACCCCTAGAGTTAGGGGAAAGCGATGTCAGTGGGCCAAAAGCTGATATATTTAGTGTAGGGGCTGGCTCCCTGATTTCAGCTTGATGTGTGAGATAATTTTGCAAATTCAGAATTTCAGCAGTCTAGTTTATCCCTGTATTCGGTAAGGCTGTAAGTTTGAAAGGGAGCAAATGGCCGTATTGACTAATTATTTCTGGTTTTCGGCATGGGGATTGGTGACCTGGTTATTTTTTGGTTTTTGATGAAGTCTTGGTAGTCTAAAACTGCATTACCTAAGTTAATTTTTGGTTACCACAAAGCCGCTAGATTTTGGAAAGGAATGGTTCTGAAGAGTCTGGGACTCAGATTTTGAAACAGCATAATTAGTTAACAGGCCAGTGGCTTTTTTGTTTTGGGTTTTTTTGTAGGGATCATTTATTTACACATATTCTAAGTTAATTGTAGAGTTGTGATTGGGAGAAGAGTTTGAGAAATTAAATCTGAAGAGCTCATTTTATTTTTTTGTTTTCAGGGTTCATAAGAGGAGGACTGGGGTTAACAGAAATATAACATTGTGTTTCTTCTTCTGTAGCAGCTGATCACTGGACTGCTGCTGTTAGGGTTGAGGTCATGTTGCTTTTCAGAGCTTGGGACTCTAAAGTCCCTGTATCTGTTTTACTGCTGGGTCAGCCCTCTCAGCTAAGTTACATGCTAAGGTTGGTCAAGGCAGATTTTTCACTTTGTTTATTATGGACGTTGTTGTGGAAAAAATTGTAACATTAGGGCTAGGACAAGCATTAGAATTTGAGTTTGTAGAAGAGGTTTCGAAAAGCCAAAGGCAGTGATGGATCCAGGCATGAATTAATAAAGCTCGTATTTATCATTGGTTTGGATAGACAGTGGTGCCTAACATCTGATTACAATTAGAGTCATGGTTGTGGTTACATTTATGGCTAAGAAATACAAAGCTTTGAGAGAGGAAAATTTATTTAATTCTGGAGGCTTTCAGGTAAGAATGAGGCCAGTATTAATGCCTAATGCATATTTTCTCTTGAGATTTGTCCTGTCTGTTGTTGAATTTAGAGTTAGGTTTGGAGTTGGAAATATTGTAGAGACAAGTTCATGGTTTTGATTTTATTCACTGCCTGTCTTCGGTCTCTGGCGTGTCCACACTTCTTACATACTAGTGCACTTCTAGTCTTCCTTTCTAAGCATATCAATTTGTTTTCCTGAAAGGAGGCCCCTGTACACAGCTGACAGGACTGCTCAGTGAATCACAGATGGTTGCAAACCACATCATCTCGTCACTGCCTCCATCACAGTTCTCTCATGTTATCTGAACTGAGCTTATACTGCTGAACACCTTTGTACATGCCCATGGGTATGCAACCCACATCTCTGGCCTCACACTCTAAAAACACCATCCAGCTATCTGTGCTTGTTAATTTGGCACTTCGCTTTCAGAAAATTCTGTCTCAGCATTGCACATGTAATATATAGGGCTCTGTGATGAACCGGGCCAAGTACTTTGCAGTCTGTTCATAGCTAGATTGCTGTGTGTGGATTAGCCTGGAATAATGCAAGGAAGAGCTAGTGCGTATCAATTAGCCAGAAGTCACTAAGTGTCAGCAGAAAGGATTTTTTTTTAATTATTTCCAGAAATCACAAGACTCTCCTGAGTGATTTGGAAAAGCTGTCTAATTACAGCCTTTTCTCCTATGTTTGAAACTCCATCCATACTGCTTAGCTAGCTGCAATGGTAAAAAAAATTGTCTTCTGTATGTAGTGTGTATCAGACACTCATTAGACTTAATATTTTAAAAACATATATCAAAAGTTATTGCTATCTCTGAAGGCTTTTTGAAATCTATCCTCCCTGAAACCTTGTGCAACATTATTGAAATCAGTAGTGTTAGATTATCTACAAGGAAGAATTTAGTCCAGGTGCTTTCTCTTCAATATCTTCACTGCAACAAGTATTTTATTTTTGCATATTTCCTTGCTCAACTACATACATTTTTTTTTTCAAAGAAAAGAAAGTAGTAACACCATCCTTTTCTCATGTAAGACTTGCTTGATTTCTTTTTCTTTCGGTTTATTTTAGCTGCAGAATTCCCTGAAAAGTGATTTGTGCCTTGATCAAGGGCCGGACACTGAGAACATCCCGATCATGTATCTCTGCCATGGAATGACACCACAGGTGAGTTTGTCTAATGATCTCTAATATTGCTGCTGCTCTTGGTAGACTCTGTAGGAGGAACCGTCTTGTACCTGTCATTGTTTTCCTGCAACAGTACCTCCGTAAGCTGTTTAGTAGATCTTTTATAGAAAGCTGAAACAATATTTCTGCCATAAATTGAGAATCACTGGTATATTAGTGCTTTGACAATGAAGTTAGTTTATTCTGTTTGAAAGAATTGAAGGAATATGAGTCAGCACTGACCCAGATTTGTTTGTAAAAGCTTTCATTTCTGATCTTTAACAGTGCATGTCATATGAATTGAACAATGCATTTTAAAACATTTTACATGTATACATATGTATACTCACAGTTGATTTATACATTATCTGCAGGAACATGTGTTTTACTTCATGTATTTACTGTCTCGTTTTCACAAATCTGAAATGTACAGCTGCCTTCTTCATACCATACAGCTGTGTCAAATTCCAAACACCATTCTTGTGAAAGGCCTGCTCCTAAAGCTACTTTTTTTCTTTCTCTGCTGTTGTCCTGTTACTCTAGTATGTGACAAAGACTCAAATTACCAAACCTTTCTGTTTTCTTACACAACAGCTGGATTTATTAATTTGGCAACAAAAGGATTAAAACACTGTATCTCCCCAAGTGGCTAAGTATATGGGTGTAGGTGAAAGTGTTTCTAGGTAAATCTTGAGAGTAAAAATAATGTTACATGGTCTAGAATATGCTTGTCAAAGACAGATGTGCAGATTATCTAACTCTGAACAGTAACATAAGCAAAAATGACATAAAGGAAATGAATGTATTTGTGGGAGTTATTGGAGAAATTGCAAAATCCCTCCAGTTTGAATAATTTTTTTTCTCTGACTACCTTTTTGATTTCCTTTCTCAAAAGGACCCTATTATGCTCCACTTAAGTTATGGAATGTGATTTTGCCCATGGAATTGCCAGTTACATGATTTGACGATACAGAAAATGAATCCTCCTAATATCTCAAAAATAAACACAGAGCAAAAAGGTAGTCTTGTCCTCTGTGCCTGGATCTCGTAGTGAGCTGGAAACATGAGCTTGGTGAACTGCAGATATGATTCCTTGCCAAGTTACATGTGCTGCAACTGTGTTCTGTGCTGGCTTCCTTCACTGAGGGCATTTAATATTGATCACTAGTGTCATCATGCTTGAGTAAATTATGAATGATGAAGACAAAAATATCTGAAAATGCCATCCATCAGACTCGCTTGCTGCATGGGCTGTGGCTTACTTGTCACATAATTATGTGGTAATCACTGTTTGCCTCCAGGAGGTTTTTAAGCCAGTCCTCAGCATTCCCTAAGGAACTGTGTCATTCACCCGCGAGCCAGACCCATTATTCTTCATCCTCTGGGAGGGCGCTGTTGACTCTCTTCTGGCATATCATCTGTGATAACACACACTACAGGCACGGTTGTAAATTCCAATTAGAAATTTTAATTAGAGTTAAGAGACAAACAACAAGAACAGCAAAAAAGTCACTTCAATTAGCACAGTTCAATATTCACCAGATCAAAAACTACCTTTGAATGTCAGCTGAAGTCCTGTATAAATGAGATAGCAGCAAATAAATGACAGAGGGAAAAGGGCAAGGGAAACTTTTCTTGACAAGATTCTGCTCCTTTCATAATTAGAATGTTGTATCTCCTTCCCATTACTGTGCCTTTCATATTATAACTAATGATGTTAAAAACAACCCCGAGAAAGGCCCTTATATGAGCAAGATCCCAGTAACGAGTGAGAACTTTCTTTAAAAGAGGAGTGGACTTTCTCTATGTAAGGGATTGTGGTATTAACAGGGAAAGCACTAACAAATATTATTCGACATACTTCTGTGAGATTTCCATTGCACATACTGCATCTCTTGCTTGAGCAGATCTGCAGCCATTTAGATTTCCTCTAGCATATTGGCAATATTTGAACAAATAGTTCTTTTAATCTTAGTGAACTTGCCAGTAACCACAAAAGATATTGGTGAGATGCTAGTTTTATTCTGGTAGTGGTGAAAAGCTGTGTAAAGGGGTTATTTTGCCCACCTGATAGTCCTTATCAAAACAGATTAGTCAAAAAGATTATTCCCCTGATTCAGGACTGCTTGTATGACAGAGGGTTTTGGTGGTGCCGTTCTTAGCTCTGGTGCAAAGTTTTACTGTTGCAGCTATACCGTTTACGGTTTTAGAGCTGCCACCATGGAAGGCTTTGCACAGTTGCATCTAGATGTGCGTTAAAATATCTGGCTGCCAGGAACCATTCCCTCATATGCAGTTTAAGTTGCCGTTCTTAGTTACTGTTGTAGCCTCTTTTCTAAATCAGGTAGCTTCCTTTTTTTTTCCCCCACTAACCTCTTTCAGATGTTTTTGGATTTTCATCTTTATGCATGGGAAATGGCTTAGATGAGGTGTTTGACATGAAGTAATAGTCTCAGAATTGTACATATGGCTGTTTCCTTTTAGCATGTTTTACACAAGAAAGAAGTCATTGAAGTCAACAGAAAGGGGGGAACTGCACACCTGACATTAAAAATCCATGGTCCATTTTTTGCAGACAGTATCCAGAACATCATGTGTAGCTTAATAATTAAAAACCATAGAAAATGGCAAGGAAATATCCTCAAATACTGCAATGAAATGATCAGAAATAATTTTCCCTGTGGTGTTTCAGTTTCATTTTAAATAGACATCAAAATTAGTAGTGGTAAGACTTCTGTGATTCAGATTCCTCAACCTTTCAGCAGTCCACTCCATATGTCTACTGTAACTAACATTAGCGTATTCATAGTTCATTCCTGCAGGTATCTTATGTGTTAGTAGTATCTTATGTAAACCAATGCAAATCTTACATGTGGTTAAATAGTAGGATGGAATGGAAAAGCAGGACATAATCTGTCGATTTCTTTAGTCCTCTGATACTACTAATGAGAGAGAATTTCTCACAGCAGGGTATTTGGCTTGGCCTGAAAAGACAGAGGACATTCGAAACACTAGAATCTGCAATTAGGTAGGTTTTTTACCCTCATTCTATCTTCAGAGAGTGCTTCTCAGGGTAGCTGTATTTTGCACCGGTCGTCAGAAGCCTGGACACTTCAGGAGTTATGATACCATCCACTGATTAGAGCAACTGGCATGTTCAAGCAGTGAAAAAAACAAAATGGGTGGCAATCCTGCAATGCATTCTCATGAATTTAAGGGAAGAATTGCTATTACTGTATCTTTAGTAAGAATTATTTCATTACAAACAGTTGCCTAGATAATTATAGATTCTGTTGAGAACTTCTTTTTCTTTCTAAGTGGTAGCATTTGAACAGCATGACTTTCTAAGTTGCTCATCCTTCCCCAGTTCTGCTGCTGGAGTGTATTATTTCCTAAACATCACATCCTGCCATTTCTGCCTTTAGTCACTATCTGTCCAAAATCAACACTGTCATTACTACTGCCATCTGTACAGCAACCTACCGTATGCTGGCATAACTCCCAGCTTGTTAGAAAGAATATCACTATTGCACCTGAGCATCTGCTACTACTTCTTGTAGCTACCACGGGTACTGGGCAGCTATTAGACGTGCATGAGGCAAGACCATAAGGTGGTTTTAGTATCTTTGGTGTGCCAATGGTCAACCGTTTGGAAGGGGCTTCTAGTGTATGTCTTAGCCTGTCATATCAAGCCTCTTCTGCTCTGCAGTGCTGCTGCTTCTTAGAACAGCTGAACAAAACTGACTTCTGCAACTATTATAATATCTAACACAGTAAATGCAGCATGGTAAAATAGTTAACAACAGCTGTTAAAATAGGTTCCTACTACATTATTCAGTGGTGGTAGAAATCATGTTGTTTTAATTGCATGAGAACAGTCCACAGTTGTTCTTGGCCAGAGACTACACTGGAGACAGCTGGGGGGTGTGAGGAAGCAGCCCTCCCTTCAGTGTGATGTTAGAGGGAAACAGGAAAATTGGGAGATGAGGTGAACTGGCAGTGAGGGAGAAAGTAAGAGGAGAGAAATGTAAAGGCAAGAAGGGAAGACAGAAGAATAGTAGTGGCAAACCAGTACAAAACATAAAGTTCATGTGAGATTGTGGAGTTTTTGTTGTTTTTTTTTAAAGTGGTTCATGCAGAAAAGGGTAAAGGTAGTATTTTAATTCTTGAACTTGTTGAAGCAAAGCTACAATTCAGTCATATGTTTAGGCCTTGAAAGGTCCATTTCCAGCAATGCCCCCATTTTGCATGGAAAAGATGGTTGCTTGTAGTTGCAGTAAGCCCCAGGCCTGACTGCTTCTTTTCCTGACTCTGGGAACCACCGGAGCCTGGATGTGTGGTGTTGTGTAAGACTGCTGTTTAACCAGGCCTGTAATCTTGAAAGCAGACTGATGGCAGCCTGTCACTTGCATTAGAACTATTCCTGAGTGATAATTTGGAAGATTCTTTGCTCTGAATGAAACATTGAGGGGATAATGGGCAGTTCTGTGTTCCCTTGTTTAATAGCTTCTGGCTCATACATTTCTCAATTTATAAGCAGTTAAACCACAAAGCTCATCCCAGGATGTGAAAGTCAATACAAACCAGGTAGATTTTGAGGAATTCAAGTTGAGGACCAGAGTCAGAAGACTACATTGGGAGAATTACTAGAAAAGAAATGCAGATGAGAAGAGACACCCATTCATATCCTTCCATATTCTTGCAAGAGATTGCGGAATTGACACTCAGAAGCCAGTGACTACAGCCCTCTCTGGTATGAAGTATGGCATCTCCGCTGAAGGCAATGATAGGAAGTCGTGCCAACAAGTCAGAGCTATGCCAGTTTACACCGTATGAGACTGACCTGAAAGCTTTATGTGGTATTCTAAGCACAGTGTGTGAAGTACTGGAAACAGCAGTTACAAGGACTCCCATGAACTTTAAAAAACTGTATGTTTCATGGGTGCTCCTTTTTAAAAATTATTCATACATATTTTTGTAAAAACTATTTATTCTTCAAT